ATAATTATGACTTGTACAACAAATTCGTACACTTATGAGATTTTTACAAAAACAAGTTTTTGGCACCGTTACTTGGAAATGACTGTGTTAATTTTAGTTATTGATATTTTGGATATGTTTTAATTTTGATTTTGTTTTTTTTAGGTTATTATTACACTGCTTAATTGTCTTGTATCTTGACTATCTTCAGACAAATTTCGTGTATCAAAATCCTAACGAGCTTGGTCTAGTTTCGACAAATCACAAAATTGAAAGGACATTAAGAATCCACAAAAAAGTGCAACGTCAAGCAAGGATAATAGTTGATAGTCAAAATCAACTATAAAATCATGTTCAAATTTCGAATCAGATACTGTAGCCAAATCCATCGGGAGTTATTGTTGAAGAAGCTTTAGTTCTAGTTGGGGATTATGTAAATCCTATTCCTGTACAAGTGCAGCCTGCCATTGTTTATCCTCCACTTAGGCAACCCAGCTTCCATATAGGCCTGATGTCATAATTTATTTCAAAATCACCAAGACATTAGGTTTTTTGGGAATGCTATGGAGAACCTTATGGACATATCTCAACTTTTTGATGTCGTGTATGTCAGCAAACATATTTCGAATATGATTATTTCATCATACTTTGAAGAATATCGCAAGGGAATGGATCCACTCTTTACCACCAGCGATCATTTAGTCATGGAACAACGTGGTTCAAAGATTCACCATGAAGTTCTCCCCGCCTTCTTGAGTTCATCCTGTCAGGAACGAAATACACACTTTCAGACAAAAAGATCTAGAGACTTATCCAAAAGCATGGAAGAGATTCTAAAATTTGTTTAAGAAGTGCCCAAGTCTGTATATTCCAAAGTAGGCTTCGCAATATCTCTTCTACTACGGATTACATCACGAGTACAAGAATATGATAGATGCTTCAGCAGGAGGATTAATGATGAAGTTAGACGTAGATGACGCTCATGAGCTGTATGAGCAAATAGCGGAGAATTAGTCAATGTGGCCATCGAAAAGGAAAATGCAAAGGAAAACAGTGGGGATGCACAAAACATAGATTCAGTAACTTCATTAGCTACAAAAATGGAAGTTCTTATATTGAAGATGGATTATCTATTTCAATCTGTTAACATGATACATCAATCACTACTTGTTTGTGCATGTTGTAAGGCAAATCACTAAACAGCAAGCTACCTATTGGTTTCTACACATGTTAATCAACTTGAGGAGGTAAGCTACATGTAGAATTTCTAGAGACAAAAAACAATCCCTACTTCAAAGTTTGGGGTGGAGGAACCATCAAAACTTTTCATGGTCTAACAATCAAGGACAAGGACAAAGATAAGGAGGAAACAATCAGGATAGACACTAGGGTTCCAACAGTAACGACAACAGATAGTCCACAGACGAAGGCAATCGCTCCTATCAAAGCATATGTGCCTCCGATCCCATTTTCACAGAGACTGCTGAAACATAAGCTCGATAAGCAGTTTTAGAAATTCTTGGATGTGTTCAAGAAGCTGTACATTAACAATCAATTCGTTGAAGCCCGAATTCAGATGCCCAACTACGTAAAGTACATGAAAAACATTCTATAAAACAAGAGGAACATGGAGGATAATGAGATTGTCATGCTTATAGAGGAGTGCAATACAATTCTTTAACATAAGTTACCATCAAAGTTAAAAGATTCATTGAGTTTTACTAATCCTTGTAACATTAATAACTTACATATAGATAAAGTATTATGTGATTTGGGAGTTAGAATTCATTTAATACATTTATTTCTTTTCAGGAAATTAGTTTCGTTGCATTGAGTTGAGGCATTTGTGAAGACATTTAGATAAAGGTCGATAAATTTATCTTCCGAACAGACTTCACTATCCTGGATATAGGGAAAGATAACAAAGTCCATCTCATTTTTGATCTTCCATTTTTTGCTATGGGAAGGGCTCTAATAAATGTGTAAAAGAGTTAGTTGATATTGATGTTAGATGATGAGGAATTAACAATCAATGTGTTCAGAGCTTTTATAGTCCGGGATGAACCAAATTCTTGCATGTATATTTATATAATAAAAGAAGCAATGTTAGAGATATTTAGACTTGATCACCCTTATGAACTTCTTGAGGCTTATTTAGTGCATTCTAAAGATTTACCATAAAAATTTGAGGAAGCAAAAGAATGTACACGTTATTTAGCAGTTATACCACCATTTTTCAAGCGATTTAACTCGGTAAAGGCCTTATAAAACTGTCATCTATACAACAAGCTCCAACTCTTGAACTCAAACAGCTGCCCACTCACCTTCGATATGCATATTTGCGATAGAAGTATTCACTTCCGACAATTATCTCGAATACTCTTACAAAATAAGAGGAAAATCAGTTAGTGAGAGTGCTTCGGGATCATAAGATGTCAATAGGATGGACTATCTCGAGTATAAAAGAGATCTTCCTTTCTCTTTGCATGTACAAGATACTAATGGAAGAAGATTATAAAGCTTCAGTGGAGCTTCAATGCAAATTAAATTCAACTATGCAGTAAGTGGTAAGAAAAGAAGTATTAAAACTTTTGGATGTGGGGATCATTTATCCTATATCAACAGTCATTAGGTCAGTCCAGCATAGGTTGTGCCCAAAGAAAGGGAATCACGATGATTCTAGATAAAAATAATGAGCTCATTTCAACATGTACAGTCACAGGTTAGAGAGTTTGCACTGATTATCATAAACTCAACAACGCCACGAAGAATGATCACTTTTTCCTTTCTTTCATTGATCGGATATTGGAAAAGCTTGCTGGACACGCTTACTACTGCTTTCTGGATGCCTATTTAGGGTACAACCAGATTCTTAAAGTGTTAGATGATCAGGACAATACTACATTCGCTTGCTCCTAAGGTAGTTTTGCTTATAAAAGGGTGTCTTCAACTTATGCAATGCTCCAGTCATTTTTCAGCGCTGTACGATGTCTATTTTCTCGGATATGGTGGAAAATATCATTGAAGTATTTATGGATGATTTATTAGTCTACGGGAAATCATTCAAGGACTTATTTAACACATATTGGAAAAGTTTTGCAGCGATGTGAGGACTCCAACCTTGTATTAAATTGAAAAAATGTCATTTCATGGTTCAGGAAGGGATCGTGTTAGGGCATTTGATATCGGTAAGGGGTATTGAGATGGATAGATCTAAAATACAGGTCATTGAGGTTTGACTGCTTTAAACACTCTAAAGGAAAAGTTGGCTTCTGTTCCAGTTTTGACTTTTTCAGATTAGGATTATCCATTTGAGCTTATGTGCGATGTCAGTGATCACGCAATGAGGACGGTGTTGAGCCAACACAAGGAGAAGATTTCATATGCCATTCACTATGCTAGTAAGACTTTGGATGAGGCTCAGATGAATTATGCTACTATAGAGAAGAAATTTCAGTAGTGGTGTTTGCCTTTGACAAATAGATCATATTCGATTGGGTCAATTTACGCTGACCATTCAGCCTTGAAGTATCTAATGAGCAAGAAGGATGCAAAGTCGAGACTTATTCGATGGATACTCCTGTTGTAAGAGTTTGATTTGAAGATCAGAGATAAAAAAAGGAAGTAAGAATATTGTTACATATCACTTATCTTGCCTTGAAAGATATAAGTCAAACCCTACAGAGGAGATCAATGAAGTTTTTCCGATTGAGATGCTCTTTCACATAATCACTATGCCATGATGTCCAGATTATGTGAATTATTTGGCCAACGCCATCATCTTACTTGAATACTTGAGTCATTAGAGGAAGAAATTATTTGATGACTTGAGAAACTACTTTTGGAATGGTCCGTTTCTTTTTATAAGGATCTAGATCAGATTATACGTCTTTGTGTGCCAAAACTAGAGCAACATTAGGTATTGGAATCATACCACTCTGCACTATATGGAGGTCACTTCGCGGCAATTAAGATAGCAACAAAGGTACTACAATCAGGTTTTGATTGGCCTACACTATTCAAAGATGCACATTATATGGTGAAAAATTGTGATAAGTGTCAAAGAACCGAAAACATCTTAAGGAGGAACTAGATGAACTTACATAGTATTTTAGATGTTAAGATATTTGATGTTTGGGACATTGACTCCATGGGACCGTTCCATTCATCCTACAGTCAACAATAAATATTGACGATAGTAGATTACGTGTTTAAGTGGGTTGAGGTTGTGACATTGCCAACTAATGATGGCTGAGTGGTGACTCAATTCTTGAAGAAAAATATTTTCAAGAGATATGACACCTCAAGGGCAATTATTAGTAATGGTAAGAATCACTTTTGCAACTGCTTATTTGCGCCGTTGTTGGCTAACTGTGGAGTGAAATACCATGTCTCGAATTCAATTCATCCTCAAACAAGCATCCACATTTCTGTTTTAACACAAATTTTTATTGCTTTTGTAGTTGTAAAACATAGTTAGATACCAACCAACCGTCTTTTGTTACGATCATAAATTTAAATATATCAAATAAACTAAAATTGAGTCTTATTTCCTATGTGACGATAACTCTTTTATCACGATTATTATTTGTACAACGAACTCGTACACTTGCGAATTTTTTACGAACACTTGACTTGATCATTGAAATGCAAATGAGTAACGTACTTTTTTCTCTATTGATAACCTTTGCTTTGTTCTAGTATGCAAGTAATGCCAATATGGAGGAAGTGGTTGAGATTCTGTTCATGCACTTTTGAAATCAACAAATTGTGGAAAAAAAAAAAAATACATAGATCTAACACCATTAATGCCGACATTTAACGATTTGGACAAAAACAGCAAAGGAGTCAGATTCAAGATCATTGAAGCCAATTTACCACGGAAATGTAAGAAATATTATATATATATATATATATAAACCAGTCTGAAAAATAGCTTTATTTACATAAATGAAATTTCTATAACCGTCCATTTGAAGATAGTGTACAAACATCATCTATAAATTGCAGCCACGTTACAACATTTATTTGTCCATTCCTGCTTCTTTTGACCACCCAATCCCAAGCCTGTAATAAATTCAGCAGTTCCTCTACCAATTCTCACCACCGTGCCTCCTCCATCGTCCTCCACCCCACGACCGCAATCCCAGAAAGAAAAGAACGAAAAATAGCAGTAAAAGTCTGGTAATATTGAGAAACCTGAAAAAAAATTTAAAAAATCAATGTCTCTGCTTCGAAGGAGGAAAGTCCCAGAAAATGAACGAACCCAGGTTCCAGATCCGAACCCAGATGGGAATCAGAAGGACAAGAAGATAATTGACAAGAAAATTGAGATTCAAAAATCCCAGAAGCAGCAGAGCAAGTGGAATTGTGTTGACAGTTGCTGTTGGTTTATTGGGTGCATATGCGTGGTGTGGTGGGTGCTATTGTTTCTGTACAACATGATGCCTTCTTCGTTCCCGCAATACATGACGGAGGTGATAACGGGGCCGATGCCGGACCCGCCAGGCGTAAAGTTGCAGAAGGAGGGATTGAAGGCCAAGCATCCTGTGGTTTTTGTGCCGGGGATTGTTACTGGTGGGCTTGAGCTCTGGGAGGGACACCAATGTGCTGATGGATTGTTCCGTAAAAGGCTTTGGGGCGGGACATTCGGGGAAGTTTACAAGAGGTATTTATGTGTGTTGTGGGTTTAATTACTCATTTATGTTGTGAGTTTTTTAGATTTTTTTGTGTATATATAGGATTAAAGATGCGATTTTAAGGAAATATGTAAATGATTTTTATTTTTTTTTTACTATTTTCCATTGTGGGACTAGTAATAACTCTCTGCTTATGAGAAATAATTGCTGAGAATCTTGAAAAGGAATAATATGTATTTATAGATTAAGGTTACATATATGAAATTTAGAACTTTTTCAAGTGGCTTTTTTGTAATTATTGAGCATCCAAAGCAAATGATTTCATACAAAATGCAGTAACCATTTCCATAAGAATGGTTGCTGAAGTAGTGTTTAATTCCTAATCTACTTGATTTCTTTGGAATATTCTTTTATATGGATGGAAGATTGAGAAATAGAAGTCGAGGGCATTTTTTGTCTTGAAATTGAGCTAATTTTCGTGGCTGTTCTTTGTTTCTTAGATGGAAATAGGATCTCTTTATTGACGTGAAGGCAAATGTAGAGTTTTCTTTTGAATTTTGATACACTGACTTGGTATTGCGGTAAGAGTTTAAGGTGATTGCATTTCATTATATAGTGAAAAACTGAGGATTTTATATTGGGATCTACCCACCTACCAATTAAAACATACACAAGCAAGGCCAAATCAAATTATAAAAGTTTAAAACAGGTTCACTTTATTGATCTATTTGCCTTGCACTAGTTTGTTACTTAACAAGGCTTCCAATTAAGTGATTCTCCTGCCATAACTGTGAGGAACTGATGTGTTGAGTGGGACTGCACATACGCTTTCCAACCTTCTATCTCTATTCTGCACTTATAAACCTGAGGCTTGTTTTATTCCAAAGATTATATTTGCTTATATTTAATAATTTATCCAGATATTCAAATATAAAACCTTTACGCCTTTGACGTCTATTTTCTTCGCTTTTCTTTATTTTCGTTTGATTCGTTTGTTTTTCCATGTGCATCCATGATGCTAAAACTCAAAGCAATATGTAACTGTGAAGAAACCAAGCAGCATCTTAAATTCTTTCTAAATAAGAGGTAGATTGTGTTGAATTTCTTCACCAAAATTGTTAGCAATTTTTTCTCATTATAACTGCCTAGTTTGACCTTGAAACTGTGTGCTGTAGGAAGTGAACAGAATCCCCTTCAATTCTAAATTGCTGACTTGCTTTATGTTTATAACTTCCATTACTTAAATATAGTTAAATTTCAAGCAGTTTGCATTCTTAGATTGTGCGTATTGGAATCTCCCCAAAAAGCTCTTAAATCAATTTTTTATTAGTTATCAGAAGAAAAGAAGAAATCCAATTCTTCCCTTTCCTTGAACATTCTTAAGCTCCTTGAGGTTTATCATGCCTTCGGCTAAATATTGAGAATGTTTGGCTAAGCCTAAAAGTAAGACTTACTTTTTAGAAAAGTATTTTTTTTTTTTTTTTAGTAAGAAGGTAACTTTTAAAATTATACATGGCAAAAAGGAACCGCAAAAGTAACTTTTACTTCGTACAGGCCTTTATGTTGGGTGGAGCATATGTCATTAGACAACGAAACTGGTTTGGATCCTCCTGGAATAAGGGTCAGGCCTGTCAGTGGTCTTGTTGCTGCAGATTATTTTGCTCCTGGATATTTTGTCTGGGCAGTTCTAATTGCTAATCTTGCTCGGATTGGGTACGAGGAAAAAACTATGTATATGGCTTCATATGATTGGAGACTCTCATTCCAGAATACGGAGGTACATGTCTAAAGCACTTGCTCACATCCTCGTGTGCTTGCAATTTTTTGTGACAGGCACTTTTTGATAAGCAATTTTTTGATATATCTATGTTCTTCATAGGTGCGTGACCAGGCACTGAGCAGGATAAAAAGTAATATAGAACTGATGGTTGCTACAAATGGCGGCAACAAGGCAGTTATAATTCCACATTCAATGGGTGTTTTGTACTTTTTGCATTTCATGAAGTGGGTGGAGGCCCCTGCTCCAATGGGTGGAGGGGGAGGTCCAGATTGGTGTGCTAAGCATATAAAGACGGTTGTGAACATTGGGGGTCCGTTTTTAGGTGTTCCAAAAGCTGTCTCTGGGCTTTTCTCTGCCGAAGCAAGGGATATTGCTGTTGCAAGGTAAATTCTGAAACAATTTTATAAAGTAGCCACTATGTCTTCTCAAGTCAACTCCGCAGGCTTACTTTATAACAATTTATCAACTGAACTGCAGGGCTATAGCTCCTGGAGTTCTGGATAAGGATTTATTTCACATTCAAACTTTACAGCACATAATGAAGATGACTAGGACATGGGATTCAACCATGTCAATGATACCAAAAGGTGGAGACACTATTTGGGGTGGTCTTGATTGGGCACCTGAGGAAGGCTATGTTCTTAGCAAAAGGAGGCAAAGAAACAATGGTACTAGTGAGGATGAAGCAACTGAATCTAAAGTAAAACATGTCAATTATGGAAGAATAATATCATTTGGAAAAGATGTGGCAAAGGCACATTCTTCAGAGATTGAGAGAATCGACTTTCGGGTAACATTTATGATAATTCTTTAATTAGAAATCAGATTCCTCTATGAAGTGTTAATTTAGTTGGTAGTTTTCAACATTTAATGCCGTTATCTTCCATTTCACACCGTGTTTTGTTGTGGTGGATGTTTCTTTGAAATAGCTACCTAACTGTTTGTGTTTCTGCAATAGTTTAACAATGATTAAATTGAAACAGTGACATCTGCCCAGAATCTACTGAAACAGAACTATGGCATGGTGAAAAGTAAGAGAAAAATATTCTGGAGAAATTTTTTCAACTGAAATTTGAACAACCTTTCAGTTGGACTACAAAGGAAGTCTGTATTGAAAGACCATGTTGTACAAGAGGAACATCGCATTTCGGAATCACAATAAAATGTGAAATGGTTGCGCGTATAAGTTGACTTTCCGTATAGAAATTTGATTGCACCATGTCCTATTGCATCTGTTAATTTGCTTTAACCATTTTGGGAACAGAATAAAACGGGAACAATATGTTCTACATGATATTATTAATAAATGAAGATCTTTCTTTCCTAAAATAAACATTTCATTTTCTGCTTCTTCCTTGGCTCTTCTCTACTTAAGTAGTCAAGTTTTATTCTATAGATTGTCTTCGATTACGGCTAAACTAAGATCTTAAAATGTTGCACTCAGCTCAAGTGCATAATCTGCGTTGCAGCAAGAGAAGTCTGACAGAACTTAATGTGAACGTGTGGTTTTTCCCATGCAGGATGCTGTGAAGGGTAGCAATGTTGCTAATCACACATGTCGTGATGTATGGACAGAGTATCATGACATGGGTTTTGGTGGCATCAAAGCTGTTGCGGAATATAAAACTTATACAGCCGCAGAGATCTTAGATCTGCTACAGTTTGTTGCCCCTAAAATGATGGAACGTGGTAGTGCTCATTTTTCATATGGGATAGCTGACAATTTGGAAGACCCGAAGTATCAGCACTATAAATACTGGTCTAATCCATTGGAAACAACGTAAGGCATTTTGCATTTTATTCCTTCATCTTATGTGCGGATATTATTTTATTCCTTTAGTAATTCAAGAATGTTGTTATTTTTGAAATCTAATTACCCATAACATTAAGGAATTATTTCAGTGGCATTTTGCAGTTATTGCACTATTTTTGCTACTATCATTACAGGTTCGTAAGACCATTTTTCAAAAATACGTGATCTTTCAGGTTGCCAAATGCTCCTGACATGGAAATCTTCTCGATGTACGGAGTTGGCGTCCCAACAGAAAGAGCTTATGTTTACAGGCTGGCTCCAGCAGCAGAATGCTATATTCCATTTCAGATCGATACATCAGCAGATGACGATGATGAAGACAGTTGTTTAAAAGATGGTGTTTTTACTATTGACGGGGATGAGACAGTGCCTGTTTTAAGTGCCGGCTTTATGAGTGCAAAAGGGTGGCGTGGAAAAACAAGATTCAATCCTTCGGGAATTCCAACATACATAAGGGAGTACGATCATGCTCCTCCATCTAGTCTTCTTGAAGGTCGTGGCACTCAGAGCGGAGCCCATGTTGATATAATGGGAAACTTTGCACTAATTGAAGACATTATGCGAATTGCTGCTGGGGCTAAGGGAGAAGAGTTGGGAGGCGATCTTGTGTACTCAGACATCTTCAAATGGTCTGAGAAGATCGAGTTACCTCTATAACTTGAGCCGGGTTCTGGATATCAGTAACGTGGGATTTTAGCATGCTGATTTTTCTAGGTTCTTATGCCCTCGTGGATCTCATCGACAGTAACAGTATGAAAGGAAGAGGGGTTGTTGCAGTATTGCAGTATCTGATGTGGCACCTTGTCATGCACATTGAAGCTTTTGCCAAGAACTGGAGGCCCGTGGGCGAAGAGTAAGGAGCGTAAAACATAATGTAAATTTTTTCCTATCTTGAAACCAACCAAAAACCGACCCTGTCTACCTCGGCCCTGAAAAAAAATGTAGAAACATTATGATTGTAAATCAATGAAAATCAACTAAATATTTGTGTAATTTACCATTTCATATTGAAATAGTGTTTGTAATAGATCAGCTTGGCAATGTGTTGTAGTAACTGTTGTTACTTAGGACCAAATAAATGTGGAAACATTATGATTGTTCTTCGTACTTTATTTTATTTAGTTTTCCTTCTTTTGGGGAAAATTCTCTTGAATTTTGTTTAATTTCTTTGCTGATGATAACTTTTCTTTTGTCAAGTGAAAATGTTATGTAGGATACGACTGGTAATAGTCTATTTTGTTAAAATTATGAGAGGAGTACACCTAACCAAGTGATCAGGAATAATAACCAAATTAAAATGTTGGTTTGTATTTATCTGGCTAGGCATTTAAAGTATAGTTATCAAATTTGGACCGACTGGCCAGAGAGTAGGTGAACCGAACTCCGGACCAATCTTGATGATAATGGTCAAATCCGACAGGGTTTTATGGTTGAACGGTCATGTGACCGCCCGCCCCCCTCTCTCTCTCTTTTCGTAAGATTGAGACCTCGAAGTTGTAATGTTGGTTGTAATGAGTAAGGTCAGCATCGTTAAATGTCTTTAGTTTGCTCTATTATGATCTCCTCCTCCTCTATATGTTTATCTCCTTTAGTGGAAGCTTTTTCGAGTTCAACGTCCATATCAAAAACTTTTGATAAAGAAACAACGACATCTTAATGGAAAGTCTTTTTCTCTTATTGTATTTGTTGGAAGCCCTATAGAAGTGATTCCCTTAATTGATATCTATTAATAATTGGTGGTGGAAGACATAATTTCATTTGTAAATCACTCAATTCAAATTTTGGTAAGAGAAATAATGCAACATGCAAGTCACTTAAGGCAGATTCATTTAGAGGTGTGAGCGGTACGATTTTACTGATTTTTGACAAATTTTCAAATCAAACCATTTTGAACGCTTTGAAAAAAACTCAAATCTAAACCTAACGATTTGGTACGATTTTAAACCGTTGGTTTCGCCATTTATTTTTTTGTCAGTCTACTTTTATGTTATTAATTCGTTGAATTCAATATATATTTATATTTTACTAGCAATAAATTTAAAACAAACTAAACTCCTGTTTGAACCAAATTTTTGAGACAAAAAATAAAAATTTGAGTCATTATCCTACCAGTCCAGCCACCTTTATTGGCCTGCTGTTTCATGTGTGGGATCCAACCTCCTCTCCAACGATCAATTTTCTTATTATGATATGAAAAATATGGCTCAAACAGGAGCTAAATATATCTACTATAAATTTAAATACCAACTAAATCAAAGTGAAATCACAATAATCTAAAACATAAATTTTTTTTTTTAAATATTTTTGTTGACCTTTTTTTAGGCTAATGACGACACAATAATATTACAATATAAGTCTTCTAAACTAAATATAAGGTTCAAAAAATATAATAATGTCCAACAAGATCTCATGATCATCATATTTTTCGTATCATCCTATGATATGAAAAATATGGCTCAAACAGGAGCTAAATATATCTACTATAAATTTAAAATACTAACTAAATTAAAGTGAAATCACAATAAACTAAAACATAATTTTTTTCTTTAATTTTTGTTCACATTTTTTAAGCTAATGAAGACATAATAACGTTACAATACAAGTCTTCTAAACTAGATATAAGGCCCAAAAAAATATAATGATGTCCAACAAGACCTTATATCTGAAAAAATGATACTGATTAGACAAAGAGAATAACCAACCACAATAATAACAGCCCGTTTGGGAGTAACTTTTTGGTCCAAAAAATTGATTTTTTGACCGTTATTTGACTATTCTAGCCGTCATATTTGACTTCTTTTCTCACAGGTGGACCTCACTTTTCTTCTAACGATCAAAAAATCAATTCTTAAAATCACTCCCAAACAGATTCTAAAGTAATTGTTTATAATATCTAAACATAACAATTACACAAGTTTGTATGATGTTATGAAATGCATTTAATTTCAGATTCTTACCTTAATTTGTTCCAAAAAAATTATTGATCTGAAATTTTATTCGTAGCAAATATTATCATCGAAGGTCTAGGATCTCTTTTATTGAATTTTACATATTTGGATGAATTTTCAAAAAATTTCAGTTTTTCATTTTTTTTATTTTTATATAATTTTTCGCCAGTCCAGTTTGGTTTTAAACCGCAATTAAAATTCTCAAACATAAACCAAATCATTTTGACCGATTTGGTTTGGTTCAAAATCATTTCGTTGATCGGGTCCACGTGACACCAAATCGACGGTTTCTAAAATACGATTTCGGTTCGATTTTCCAATTTGACGATTTTTGCTTACAGCCCTAGTTTCATTAAGTTCACATTTACGCTTTTATATCTCGTAGCCGTTATCCTATAGTGAAATCTCCTACATCTCATCAATTTCATGGGCTATCAATTGTTGTTGTCTTATAATAAAGTCACATACGAGAATTTTGTTGAAATCAACCAAAGTCATTTGTTGTCGTGCTAATTTTGATCCTTCTATATCCTGAAAAAGAGGGGAAAACAGAAACAAACTAAAATGGGGAAAAATACAAAAATACATGTAAAATATGAACTATCACTAATAAATTGAATTTAAACTAAAGTACCAATTCCTGACAATGACACCAAAAGCTTATTATGAAAATATTCTTCATTTGAAATACCACAAGTGCGGGATCATCAACAAGTAGTAAAATAAATTTTGAGTTCAAGTATCATACCTACATAGATTGTATTGGTTTAACTTTGAATTAACTTATCCTTAATCAAAAGTATATAATTTGATGATTTTTAAAAACAAAATTGTATTAACTAATATACTTATGAATGCAAGACCTGACTAAACTAAAATCAATGCAAAATATGATGATGGAAGATTTCGTATCCTCTTATATCAACCCCTTTAACCTCGAACATTTGAATTTGACAACACTATTCAATTATAAAGATCAATATTTCTAATTTGTTAAACAATTTCTTTCCAGTAAAATCAAACCTATTTTTATAACCCGATTATATTTCTGTGACGAATGCTAACATGTAGAAATGTATTAAATCTTTATGAAAATCTAAAAATTACATAGAGTATAACGGTATATTTCTATCTTCTATCTGACCCTACTATAATTGATACTATTTTAACTTATTTTCAATCTCTTGATGGTAAAACAAGATACAATACTCATACAACCATTACACATATAATTGTAAAGAAGAATAAATGTCAATCATTATAAACAAAAATGTGCTTTGAATGTCAAAAAATAAATAAATAAAATCAAAAGTTAAAAATTCATGATAAAAGATTCATAATAGTCTAACATGCTAGGAGGAAGAAAATAAAAGAAATAAAAATAGTTCATCACCTGAAAATTCTTGGATTTGATCTTGCTTTGTTCTTTGCCTCTTTTTGTAATTAATTGGTCAACCTAATTTAGAATCAACATGTTGCATTCATAAGTCTCTAAAAAGTTTCCCAAAAGTTTACAAAGAAAAAGTCCAAGAAGGAGTTTCCTTATTGGAGTAGAATTCGAAAGGAGACAGACATCTGAATGCATTTTGCCTACGGCGATTGGAGTAGAAATCAAAAGGAAACAAAACATCTGATAGCGACAGGCAGGACAGCAGCCTCAGCTTAACCCGAGAGATCTCTTAGGCCAATGTATCAAGATTTGCTACCAATTTTTGGGGTTTGGTGATAGCCCAACCCATATAGTTATACAACTCCTTCCAAAGTTGTATTTTTATGATAAGTTTCTCTATCGATATCAGATTGAGGTTATTCAAAGTGTAATTAATAGGTAAATTAAATAACTACAAATTCTTGTTGAAATATCAATTTTCTAATTTAAACGTTTGCTATGTCAAAAAAGGATTTATGAGGCTTAATATATGGAAAATAACTTGTGCAATTGAAAACTGATTTGTGAAAATACTTTGACTATAATATGTGATCTCCAACCATCATTTTGTGGTCCAAATCCACTATCGAATATTTGGAATTTGGTACTCGAACTTTAGATTTCCATCTTCTTCTTCTTTCTTTTTTTTTTTCAATTGCTTAGAAACAGGTGCAACACTGAAACAAAAGAAAATCAACCTAAGTTAAATAGGAATCAACATGTTGTCGACATAAAAAGTTAGTAATATGGCTCAAACAAGTGTACAAAACGCACTTATCAATGAAGAAGATTAAAACTTGTTATATTTGTCATTAATTTTTGAAAAAGCCAAAAACAAGAATACTTGAGCATTTTATCTTATTAATTCTATACCAATTTCATGCCATAAGTTTCTAATGCTTTGAGTTTAAAATTTTTACCAGTTTCACGTAGTATATTTCTATTATAAAGATATTTTTATTTAAATTTATATCAAGCAATGGCCGATCAATTAAGGCTCCATTATTAAACTCTTGAACCAGTGACTCAATGTTTTGACTGAGTATCCAATAAGAAATATTAAAAATTATTAAATTTTTTCACAATATCAATAATATTAAAAAATAGGTTATCAATAATGTTACAACTTGTTTCATTTGGTTAAAAATAAAAACTTGACTCTTCAAAATCTAAATCAAATAGGGATTTAAATGAAGTAAATTATTTTATTGGGGTTATTTTACAATTTACAATATTTTAAGGTTTAAGATGGATAAACTTTAACTTTGGGGATCTACTTATATATTATTGGAAGTTAAAGGACTAAATGCTATGCTAAATTGAAGAAGAGAGACTTCCTTTGCAAAATGGGTTAGTGGAGTCCAAATGTCATGTTTAAAAATAATTTTTCATTTCATTATGCACATACAGATAGCTGGAAACGAGAGAAGTAGAAACCGAGAAAGAAAGGATAATAAAAGAGAAAAGAAAGAAGAAGAGAAGTGAAAGGGAAAAGAGGTAGTCCGAGCTTGATTTTCATTCTCCTTTCTTTTTATTTTCTTCAAGAGGTAGAAAACAATTTATGTTAAAGTTCCTAGGGTTTGATTTGTGGTTTTAATTTTCAGATCAAGTGAAAGGGGTATAATTTCTTCTTGCTCAAGTTACTTGATTGATAAATTTTCATTTGAATTAAGGTTAGCAATATTAATTTTTCGGCAAATTCTGGAATTCTTATTTGGGATTCTTGATTA